TTTCACTACTTTTTATCGCTCTTTCTCTTATCCTTCCTTTTCTATTATGATTCGACTCGAAGGCTCGAGTTCAAAAAAACCGTGTCTGTCAGACCTAGATAGTACGGACACGTCGGTAATTTGCAAGGCGAAGTCATGAAGCTTTTAGGGCCCAAAAGGGCAGTCGACCTGAGAACTCCAATCATCCAAAATATCATTACAAATGTCCCGACCCGTCGCTTGTAAAGCACGTACCCACTTGACGTAGTTTTTGCATTTTGCTCATTTCTGCAAAAAGACGCTCATTCACGAACTTTTTTGGCCATCTTGGTTTGATCTTAGAATCTGAAAATCGTCAACAGTATTTTTCTAGGGTTTTCCGTGTTAGAAGGTTTGTTCCGGGCACAGAGGCTGTAAGTTTCGGGTGCTGGAGCCGTAGCTTTGACTGCTCCGAGTGCTACACCCGGAACTTTCGACCTCTAAGCCCGGAACGCAGACGGTATGTCTATATAGCCCGTTAGTACGGCTCCCACGGCCGAATGTTCTAACCTGCCAACTATCCAGTGGTCCATTGAGCCGTGCAACAAGAGCGCCCAAGCCTCATACACTCAAAAACAGTTCCGGGCTGTAGAGACACACCCAGAGTACCTATGTATATTGAGAGAGTATGGCCATTGGTGTTACCACCTCTGATCGGTTCAGCCATCTTAGGCTGAATGGAGCCCTTAGGACCCATAAATGGCGGACGCCATGAATTCATGTAATGCAAAATTACTCAAAATGTAGTTTTCTTTGCTTATCGTAACGAGAAATTTACCCAAATGCACTATTGGAACTTCTTTACATATTTTTAAGGCTAATCGTGTGCAATTTTTGAGAAAAATTATCTTAAATGTAGTAAGGTTGGCAGCAAGTGCGGTTGGTGATAACCGTCAGAAGTTGGCAATAAACCCCCCTCCCATCCACAAAAACCAAAACAAAGCACTGCCATTTTTGGGTCCTAAGCCTCTCCATGGGGCCCAGTGGGCATACTCTCTCAATATAGGTACTCTAGACACACCGGCCGTACCGGGCTCATAGGCCGGAAGTTCCGGATGCTGCCCCCGGAACTTTCGGTCTCTGAGTCCGGAACTTACGGTCTCAGAGCCCGGTACGCGGCCGGTACGTCTATACAGCCCGTAAGTACTTACGGCTTCCACGGCCGGAGTTTTTTTTTCAGTGTAGGTACTGTAATCAGACCAAGTAATGTTCTAACCTGCCAACTATCCAGTGGTCCATTGAGCCGTGCAACAGCGCCCAAGCCTCATACACTGAAAAAACCAAGTTACGGGCTATGTAGACACACCGGGCTCTTAGGCTGTAGGTTCCGGGTGCTGGAATTGTAGCTTCGAGTGCTCCGGGTGCTAAACCCGGAACTTTCGGCCTCTGAGCCCGGAACATGGCTTGTATGTCTATACAGCTCGTAAGTTACTTACTTCCACGGCCGGAGTTTTTTTTTTTCAGTGTAGGTACTGTAAGTCAGACCAAGTAATGTTCTAACCTGCCAACTATCCAGTGGTCCATTGAGCCGTGCAACAAGAGCGCCCAAGCCGCATAACGGGGAAAACCGCGCTAATGGGCCCGGCAAAGCAGCGTAAGTAGCAGGGAGCGAGCGGGGCAGCAATCGCACGAATTACCCCCCCGTCCCCCCGCGCCCCCCGCGAGGGGCAGCGTCCATTTGTCGCGTCGCCGCGCGGTCGGACCGAGCGAAATAAAAATGAAAGTAAAATTAGCCGGGCGAGCGGCCGACGGAGATGTTCATTAGTATGAGCCGAGCGGCGCATGGCGTTACGGATTCACTTTCTTCTCGGGAAACTCGGCTCGCAGGTGGCCCTGGCAGTGTCGCCGCGATTACCCGAGCGATTAACCATTACACCTGCCCCTGCTCCCCCCCTCCCGAAAAGACGGGGCGATTAAGAAACACACCTCGTCATCGCTCGTAATCCGTCTGATCCGTTTCCCATTTTCTCGCCATGCCGCCACCATGCTGTGGCTGTTGCGGCGGTGATGATCAAGGCTGAGCGAATATATCACGCGAAGAAGCGGATGCGATAGGAAGAGTACCCCAGCGGGCCGATTATTGAAACTGATAGACAAAGCTATAGACAAAGACGACAAAAGGGATTTGGAGGGATCCTATTGGTGGAAGCAGGTGGTGGCAATGGACATAGGAGGTAGGTAATAGACTAACTAACGGCAACCCACCGAAGACCCGACGGTTATATAGTCTATCATTTTCTTCCTTATCTATAAGAACCAACCATGTCAACCAAAAGGATCGCTCCATGCTTCCTATGTCTTCTTTGTCTATCGCTTTGTCCATCAGTTTCAATAATCGGCCCGCTCGGTAGGGTTCAGGATTTCGGAGCCCGTTGGAGCTGTCAATGGTGCGCCCCCCCCCCCCCCCCAAAA